ATTTAGTGGAAGTCATGCCTAGAAAAAACGAATGGACACTTTCTTTCAATTTGATCGATAGCATACTTTTGATCTTTATCGTAGTTCGAATATCGCATTCCTTTAGCTTGAATCAATGTGTGAAAAAAGTAGATAATTTTCATATATATGAAACTTTATTAAAACATTTTAATTTTAAGTGTACTGTTTCGAAAGAAAAAGAGTTGAAATGCTTTTTATATTATTATTTTGCTTTTAATTTCACTCCATTTCATTTCTTAAGAAATTCTACTACACATTTCTTTGTCATTTAATACGTCAATATTAGTTGCTCTCTTGTTCTAATTAGCACATCACAAGAAGTAATCAAATACTATTTTACTCATATGCTTAGACAAGCAGCCAGTTTATATTTCATTCATCTACACTCTAGGTATCTTTCATTGATGGAATGATTTCTAATTTTTATGTTGGATATTTAGTAGAATACTGGCTGAAATACATTTATTTTTTATCAATTATTTTATCTCTGATGTTATATGAGCAATATAGTTGGAAAAAAAGTGTGGCTTCTAGTCGAACTTATTTAGAATTGAATATCGAAGATCGTTATGCATCAATCGTTTCATCAACAATAAATATTGATGCTACTGTAACTAGTATTAGTATTATTATCCATTATCCTCTCTTTGTAATTAGTCGAAAATACTTGGATGAACTCGATAGTGATTATAAAAATGAGTAGCGCATGTGAATTTTAATAGAAAATTGTCACAATAATTTGTTAATTTGTTCAATTTATCTCCCTCTATTCAAAATATGTTAGAAGATCATTAATAATACTACGTAAAATTTGTCAATGTTAGTTTATTAGATAGAAATATCATTGTAAAAAAAATATTAGTAGTTGCTCTTTTATCCTTCTCTTTTCTAACGAAACCTATTCTATGTTGAAAATTAATTTATTGATGAAGTGTAGCAGCACACTTGAAATGTTCTTCTTTTTTTTTTTTCAATATGAAAAAGATAAAAGTAGACGGTTTTCCTCTTCTGTAAATGATAGAGAAAATAACTAACTACTTATAGAAGAAAAAAAAAAGAAGAAGATTGTCGACCAAATAAAAGAAAAAAGATCGAGTTACTATAATATTCTTAATGATTGTATATCTAACAATGAAAAGAAAAGTGTAGTAAAGTAGAGAATCTTCCTTTTCTTTTGAAACTCATATTCTATTACCTGCAAGTAAGCCAGCAATGACAATAATAAGGATAAATTAAATTCTTTAATTTATTTTCAACAGTAAAAAAAAATAATTTCTGTAAGTTTTTTTAAAAACATTGAGAAGAAATCGTGCTATTTTTTACGGACAAATAGTTTCCAAATTATAGATATAAAATCAATGGTGTTTATGTTAATTTAACTGTTTAAGGTAATGTGAACATTTTTTTATTATTATTATTATCCTATACGTTTATTTTGACTTGAAAATAAATTGTTTTGGTTAATTTTAAATGTATTAATAGTATTTAAAACATTTCAACAAATTTGTTAAAATATACAAAAAAACTAGTCGATCTAGAAAAAAAATTACGGTTTTTTTTGTAAAGTTTTTTGATTTTAGAGGAATAAATGATTGAAAAAATAATGTAATTTTGTATTTTTTTTTAGAATACTATGTCACGAATGATTTCATTGAGCGATATAGAAAGTCGAATTGTACTCAATGTTGGTGGAACACGATTTGAAACAATGAAATCAACATTGAAAAAATTACCGGCTACACGTCTATCCAAATTAACTGAACAATTATCTCATTATGATCCCGTATTAAATGAATATTTTTTTGATCGTAATCCAAATGTTTTTTCACAAGTTCTTAATTATTATCGTACAGGAAAATTACATTATCCTACGAATGTATGTGGACCACTATTCGAAGATGAATTATCTTACTGGGGATTACAGCGTGAAGATGTTGAACCATGTTGTTGGATGACATATACAAGACATCGTAGTACACAAGAAACATTACAAATTATTGATAGTCTTGAATTAGATACACTATGTTCAACAAAAGAAGATATAATGAAGAAATTTCATTATGAGGATGAAATATTGCAAGGAAGAGAATTATCGACGGGAAAACGAATTCGAACAATTATTTGGCAAATATTTGAAGAATCAAGATCATCGACTATATCAAAGGTGAGAAGAAGAAAACAAAAAAAATCAAATTAAATACATAAAATTCATGTTTTAATAGTCAACTTTTCATTAATTATAATATATTTACTATATATTTTTTAGATTATCACTGTAATATCCGTATTTTTTATTTTAATTTCAATAATGTCATTTATGTTACAAACAATGTCAGTATTTAATGTAACTGAAATTAATTTTGTAACAGCTTATATTAATTCGACGACTATGAAACGAATGCCAACACCAAACGGCGAAGATATAACTCAAGCATTTCAAATTATTCAATGGACATGTAATGCATGGTTTATATTTGAAATTACTATTAGATTTATTGTTAGTCCAAATAAAACATTATTTTGTAAATCAGCATTTAATATTATCGATTTTTTAGGTATGTTACATTATAAATAACATATTTAGTAGTATTTTATATCATGTTTTTCTCTTTTATTTTTTTAAAAAGCAACATTTTGGTTTGTTTTAACTTATATATTAACAAATATATTTCATATACCTGAAAATGAAGGATTTGATTTAATATCAACAATTCGTGTTGTGAGAATATTTAGATTATGTACATTACATCCTGGTCTCAAAATTATTGTTATAGCAATGCAATATTCATCCACTATTCTATGGTTACTCATATTTTTTGTTTTTACAGCTATTGCATTAACAGCATCATTTATTTATTATGCCGAACGATCGACACCAAATGAAGATAATTATTTTACATCTATTCCTGATTCACTTTGGTTTAGTATGATCACAGTAACAACAATCGGCTATGGAGATTTATATCCCAAAACACTTTTAGGAATGCTCGTTGGAGCAGTTACAACAAGTAAATAACAATGTTGTGCTTTTCAATTTTTTATGAACATTTTTATAATATTTTCTCTTTAGTTGCTGGTGTTCTTATTATCGATTTACCAATGCCAATTATTGTTGAAACTTTTGCCAACTTTAATACTCATTTAACAGCACGATCTAAGCTACCTAAAAAACGTAGGAAAATAGCGGTAGTTGAAAAGCCAAGAAAAGTACAAGTTTCGCCATTAGGATAGTTATTCAAACATGAGAATGATTATTACTCTAAAGATGACACTTGTCTTCTCGTTATCTCTGTGATATTATCGTAAATATACCTCCGTTTCAAAATTTAAGAATAACAAACGGTGCCTGAGCAATTACTAGAGAATGTCAGCTGTTCTATTAAATGAATTACCGCGCAGTACAACGATATTTTTCTTTAGATGTTAAGGGAGCCCGCTCCCCCTCAGGAAAAAACTTTTTTTATCTTACATACAATTTCGATGGCGCTTTCAGTGACTAATGCTTACTGTCCTACTAGCTTATGCTAAGAATTCGATATCGAAACGTTGCAGCGCTGCCGAGTTATTTCGTGATTAGGGCCAAAATGGGGCTCTTAACAATAATGTAAAGGTTTTTTGTTAAAAGGTGCAGAAAGCTGCGAGAGGTCTCAAATGAAAGTAGACACCTCAATCTAAAATTTGATCCGCGGCGATTTTTGAATTTCCTAATGCGGCGGAGTATATTGCACAGAAAACAAAAATCAAAAATCGCCGTGGATCAAACTTTAGATAAATGTCTTAGCTTCAAAATAAAAAAAGACTGAAGATTTTACGACGAATCATCTAGGAGTTGATACAACTTTGCTGTGCCAAAATCATATCCTAAACAATGACGTCATCACTTCATTAATTATAGTTCAGCGCCTTTAGCAAAACTCGTGTAACTCTGTAAGACGAAGTTGTACAACCTGCTGGGCATCTCATTCTAATCAGAATACTCTGCTCAACATAGCTCCATGCCTGTTAAAACGGACAACCTTTAAAATTTTAATAAAAATGTGAAATTTAGAAAAAGGTGATTTTTAGGGTTTTCAGAAATCTTTTTCAAAATCCTTCACAAACGCTGAAGTTTCGGCAAACTGAGATGGAGTCTGAAAGATGACACTTTGGGATACTGAACCGTATGGTTACTTCAGTTTCGAAGGTTTGGAAGAAAACATTGAATTCCTGACGGGGGAGGGCGGTCCTTAAGGAGAAAATAAGAACGGTTGAAAACTGAAACGTGATTGGTGTTTTCTATCAATTTAGAGACTCGATTATAAAACGATGTGAAGTAATCAATTTGAAACAATCAGGAAAGCTAATTAATATTAAAAACAGGCTAATTACTAATGAGTTGGTTTTCTATAGTAGAAAGTAAAATTCACTCGCTGACAATCCATCTAGTGAGAAAAATTCGTCTGCGCCGTATTGGACGAAATTTATATATCTAAACATGAAAGCTAAATGATTTGACTTTGACTTTTAATTAATTTACCATCTTAATTCGAAATCAGCGACTACCACAAAATATCTCACCTGCATATGCTATTAATGACTCATGATCCTTTTCAGATAAGTAAGTACTATGCTAACATGCTATTTTACCTCTTTTACATGTCGAGAACATGCAATGACAACTCTAGGTCTCATCCTTTCATGTTTATAATGAATAGAATAAAGAGAAAGGATTTCATAGATGAAAAATTCGTCGTTACTTCCTGAACTGCTCACACTTTTAATTCATTTCAAATTGAGATCAAAGAACCTTCAAAGGCGGTAGGTGAGTGAGTGTGCGCAATTTGGCATGAATCAAATATGTCTAGAAGAGATGTTTTATTGATCACAAACCTAGAGTCTGATTGAGCTGTATTTTCTTTCATTGTTTTTCTCTCGGACATGTTGGCAGAACTTTTAGATACGTTCTGTTTTATTTTTTCTAAATCAGAGATGAAAAAGTTGGAATTCCGCCCGTTTTTTTCATAAAAAGCCAACTTTAATGCAATTAAAATATCATATTCGGAATCAGGGTCACAAACCGAGTCGAATGGTGTACGTTTGTATTCTATCCGATCACATTAATTTTTTTCGAATTTTTACCTTGAAAAATTTCTGAGATTTTCACCTAAAACTAAAAATTAGTTAAAAATTTCGAAATACACGTATCTCGATTACTCTTAGAGCGCAACAACAATCGAGTCTTATTTCTTGACTCTTATAGTGATCGAGGCTGAGACAAGACAGTTGATCAAAAATCACTGATGGGTTTCAAAACTATCTGAGTTATAACTAGTTGTAGTTAAAATTAATTATAACTAATTTAACTATTCGTCAAAAATTTAAAATAGTTATAACTATCAACCACCACGGTTGATAGTTATAGCTCCGTTTAATAGTGTTGATTGATATAAGAGAGAGTCCCAAGTAAGAGTTACAACTATTTCAACTTTAGTTATAACTGTGCCGTAATACAAACTAGAATGAGATTTCGTAATTTTATTTTGGGTTTTACTTTATTTTATTATTAAAGTTGATACAATTATAACTAGAGTTGAAATATTTATCACTCTATCCGTTTGGAGTTGTAACTCTTTCAACCGGAGTTATATCGATTAACCCGAGTGGATAGTTATAACTAGGGTTTTAACTATATCAACTTTTTTAGAAATTTTCTCAACTTCTTAACTTTCAAAAAAAACAGTTTTAAACCCATCAGCACCAAGAACAATTTGTTTTGAATCGTTGTTAAATGATACACATGAGTTTCTTGAGGAATACACATTATTTTAGATATTTCTCTCCTCAAGTAACTTAAGTGCATGAGACAAGAAAATCAAGTACATACCGCAAGCGTTTTGCATGAGTAAGAAACTCATATACATGGAGACAAATCTTATGGTATAGCATGTCATGTGCTTGAGAAAAAAATTTTCACTAGAAAAGTGCCCGTAGAGAAAATAAAACAGCACAAACGAAATTTGAACTTTTCTAACATTTTTATATAGACAGTAACATATGTTCAAATTAGAATCGTCTTTCTTTGTTTTAATCTTCAACTGTTCTTTCAGGTGCGATTACTCACTTTCAAGAAAGAAAGAAGGGAAGAATAAGTAATGAAAGGTAATTTTTTGTTATTATCATTCATTTTGCATAACTCATTTTATTAAATACGCTGACTACTGTATGCTTTTGGTTTTTTTTTCTTCTATTTTCAAAAAATTTCGACAAGAAAGAATTCCACAGTGTAAATCTAAATGACATTCCTTCATTTCGAACTCTTGAGTGCGCATAGAAGGAGAGAATAATCATACGTGGGTTGAGAAGTTTGATAATAAGAGTATAAGAACCTATAAATCTAAAACGCAATTGATAAAACTATATATATATATATAAATATCTAAGTAAAAACACAGTAGTCAGACACATTCAAATTAAAACATATAAAATTTTTGAATTCTTAAATCATATTACTATAAAAAAATAAAATGATGTCAAATTCGAGAGAACCTTATGTCGCTAATACAAATGGGTAAGGAATGTCAGTTAATTTTTTTATCTTGTGTCTCAATTGCATAAGGATCTACATTTCGTTTCATTACTATAAGCGTAATTAGCTAACGCAATTACTGATTAATAAAGAAAACAACTCTTTAGTATTGGGCTGATTAAAATATTTGATAATAATATATTTTTATTATAATTAAATTTTCAACAACTATTCTTCTTTATAACTTTATTCAATTGAGACATAATTAACGTAAACTTCTTTTTCGTGATAAGTTTGATGATCTGGCTATCAAAATGAACGATAAGTTTCAATGATAGATATTGTTATGAACATGATCTCTCAATCTCAGATTTTATGTCCAATACTTTCGAACAGCACCAAATTCGATATTTTACTATGTATTATAACCACTCAATTCTTGTGCGATCAATAGTTAAAGTTAAACTCATACTTTACAATTATTCAATTATGAGTTATCTCTTATTGACAGTACAGACAAAATTTTTTGTTAATTCTGATTTTTCATCATACGACTCAACGGTATGTCTTCAATTTCATAATCAGTTTCCTTTTTTGGTTGTTCGAAAATAAATTTTTTTTTTACGATTTATGAATAGGTCAAGTATACTCTGTGAATGAAGAGAAAAAAATGATAAATTAATAATATGCTGATTGGGGAAGAGAGAGGGCTGACATATTGTGCAGAATGCAACACGCAGAAAACAACACCATCATTTTACAGGTGTTTTGTGAGACAAACTGGATTAATAACAGAGAGTAAAATCAAATCATCAGAACACATTTCTAAGATATAGCCTTTTTTATAGACACATTGATTTGTGTGATTTATAATTAGTAAATATGCGATAAATAATATCATAAAAGCAGAGAGTAGGAGTGACAAATACAAAAGTACACTCGTGTATTGACTGAAATAAAGCTTTAGTTGTAAGTGCTGTTATCGTGCGCAGAATAGAACTATATTTCTAATAAATTTTTAATTGTTTTATTGTTAAAAAAAGGTGCGTGTATGAAGTTTGATGACTTTTCTAATTTGTGGTTCTAGTACTGCAAGTCCTAGATCATCTCGTCGATCAGCTAACGGTTTAGTTCCAAGTGGTATTGGTCAACATATTAATCCATTACGTAATCCTCTCTATTCAAATCAACAACAACCATTGACGACTGAGGTTGGAGCAATGCCTCAGTACGGAGGAGGGACCGAAAAATGTGCCAGATGCATGAAAAGTGTCTATATGGCAGAAAAAAAGGTTGGCGCAGGAAGGGTATGTAACGAGTTCTAGTCTGTGAAGTTTATAAAAATGTTCATTTCATTTGTTTTTAGCCATTTCATACTCGATGTTTTAGTTGTTACACATGTAAAAGAAAATTAGATGCGATGACATTAACTGAACATAAAGGAGAGATTTTTTGTAGAGGTAAGTCAACATGTCGAAAAAATACGAAATTTGAGATCTCTACAGTTCACCTCTCTAGGGAAAATATATGACGTTTGGGAAATTTTAATTTGATTTAGACAGAGAATGATTTTCTTAAACTATAACAGTATTTCTGTCTACAGCTTGATCTTTTCTTCTCTCATTTCAGGATGCTATACACGTCAATACGGTGTTCATGGTGTAGCAAGTGGTGTTACAATGTCTACGGAAAATCCTTCAAAAAATTCATCTACTCGTCATCCTCGTCGTTCATCCTATGGCGACGATTTAAACGTTATTTATCCACCACCATCTCAAAATCAAAATATACGTCAACGTAGTCATTCAAATGAAGGTTTAGTAGATGAGGGCAACAACTATTCTTCATGGAAAGATAACGTTATACCAATCAACAAAGACAACAACAATCGCTATCCACAGGCTATAAATAATAATAAAACGTTCTCGAAACAAGATCAAGAAATAAGATATGAAAACGAAACAACTCTCAACATCGATCACCCAACAGCAACAAATCGAAAATATCATGGACTCGAAGCAATCATCAATTATCATAGTAAGTCTTTAGGAAATACCTTTCACGAAATGCTCATAAAAAGTAAACAACATCGTCAAAATTTATTGGCTTTTCAGATGTTACACCCACACAAGTTTCTCAACGACCAAGTGGTATGTCAAATTTTATTGAAATACCTGTAACACCAAAAGCCGATCGACATATACATGTAGGAGCAGTTAGTGAACTAGTACTGAATAAATCAGCAATAAAACCATCAGAATCACCATATAGTAACCGAAGTAGAAGTCCATCACCCGTTGATTATCAGCAACAAAGGAGTACAGAACGACTAATTGAAGTTAATAAAGGTATGTCTAGTAATTTATTTAATGTCATTCGAAGACGTATTTTGTTCATTTGAATGTGACATATCTCTAGAACCTTACAATTATATGTCTTTTCTTGTTTAGAAAAGCATTCTCATTTAACAGGCAATGATCATCCAACAATAAATTTTGCCAGTGAAAAATTCGTTGAACCTGATACATCCTCAAAATATCGTTATAGTGAAACGACTCATAATTTAAGCTCTTATACAAGTGACTCAAAACAACAAAAGAGTACTGGTACAACAAATACAACGTATCAAAAATCAAGAGATTCATCACCAACTAGCTACGATAGATATAGTAGTACTATAAAGCCAAGGGATTCTTCATCGATTAAGTATGATACTAGTTCAACAACATACGATCGTTCTTCACCACGTAATTCCTCCTACAATTATGTTGAACAAACAACGAAAACAGTGACAACTACTAACCATAGTGGTGGCATGTATGATAGGTCAGGTTCATCCTCGTCATCACAATTTAGTGAATCGAAAATACCAGCAAAAGATTATAGCCGCTACGCCGACACAGTAAACAACAATATGCATAGTTATACCGATGTAAGTTTAATATAAGTAGAACAGAAAATTTGAACCGGTACAAATGTCAGCTTTTTGGATATCAATAAATGCATGAGACTCCTGTTATTCTATGAGCAGAACACAGAGAGTTTGGAGAAACACACAAAACACGAATAATTTCAATATACCCTTGTTTTTCTTTTAGATAACTAGTCCAATCTCTGTTCTCCCATCAATCACTCGTTTATCCTCATCTACTTCAACAACATCAACCTCTCGAGGTGCATCTGACTCGGCTTTAGGTAGTTTCGTGTCAACAACACATAATATGGCTTCGAATATGACATCATCCCCAGTGGATTCAGTTAAAAATCCAACACTAGCAGCATTGATCAAACCACAGCGACTAAGTTCACAGGAAAGCAGTAATGAATCTGAAGATTAGACAAAAATTGTTGTATTTATTATTATCGATGCTTATTGTCTCTTTTCCAATATAGAACACAAGATGATCGTCATCTTTTTCACTTTGAAAGTACACATATTTTCTTGAAACGTTTCGTCTTTATTCAAAAGACATCAGCAGCCAAATGGCTACAAAAGTTCTTCCAACATATCGTAGATTACGGTACATGTGTTAGAGAACGAGACAGAAATCAAAATTCTTTCTTTCTACTCGTGAATACCAACTCTCAAGCTTATATGTGTATACCAAAACTCTCCTGCTACTGGGTTATACCTGCATGCACTATTAGCTTATTGCACAATTGTATCTTATGGAGTCTTGCCGTTATAATGTATCGCTACTATACCGTTGTTCGATCAGGTTTTAGCGGAAACTGGCTCTGTAAAAACCACTGAATATATGGATAGTTTTAAGTAACCAGTCGATAAATTACAAAATAAACCGCATACAATGCGAACAATCTACACGACGTAGAAACGAATAACTTTTGTAACCATTTGACTGTTGATGTCTGTTGAATAAAGACGAAACGTTCTTTTGTCTATATAGAACATTTTTTTCATATAAACGAGAACTAGTAATATCCTCGTTGTTTGTCGTGTACGGCATCGGATTGTGGAATGCCGTTTTTAAATTTTAAATATGTACAATATTATTTTTTTTATTTGAACTTTTCGTATATTTTTTTAAAACATACTTAATAATACATGCTACTATCCGTTCCAAAACACAAGGCAGGTGGTTGCGTTTTGAATAACTCCGGAACGGAAGCAGATAGAGACTTGCGATTTTCAGTTCTGAATAGCCAAGACCAGCACGCATCTTTCCACAAGTAGAAATGATTTTTGAAAAAAATTTAAAGACCGGATTTTGAGTAGATCTTTGGAAAACCAGTTTGGATCTGTGAGAACTGACATAGAAATAGGTCAATCTTGGTGAGGGTTTTTGATAGCGTTTTGAAAAACAAATCTTTCCACGAGATTTAGCGTGGTCAACTACCTATGTTTCCATTTATTTTCGGTATTGCCACACCTAAAGAAATGTTGATCCTGGGACTCTCAGGAAATTCGATTGAACCGGAAGAAATTGAGAATTTACTTAGCATTCATTTTGGAGAGGACACTTTCGACTATTCATCTATGAAGAAAGATTGATCTATTTCTATGTCAGTTCTCAGAGATCCAAACTGGTTTTCCAAAGATCTGCTCAAAATCCGGCCTGTCTTGTATTTTGGAACGGATAGTAGCACGTATTATTAAAACGAAGAGATTACGATAAAGACGTATTTCTGCTAATTAGAATAAATCTAACGAAAATACGTCTTCAAAAAACAACGTTGAAAGGCGTACTGATGCAAATTGAAAGTAATATTGATCAAATCTGTTTATGATAAAAGAATATGGACATGTGTCTGTCTGATGCTGTGAACCTCTTTTCAGAACGGAAGAGTATAGTCTTCTATATATGTGTAAAAATCGCCCGTTTTTGCATGACCGTAGCGTTCTGTTTTGCTTTAGGACGTCAGAGGCATTCTAGTTTTTTCCATAAAACGTTTGTCTAGTATGTATTCATAATCCATAATACTAAATTATGATTCATTAAGACCAGTTTTAAGCCACAGTGAGAAGCAACACATTCTAGTTTTTACACAAGTTTTGAATAAAATGCATAGACAGAGCAGTTAGAGGTGAATACAGATTCACACACTGCATAAAATAATGAATAGAACGATGAATTCTCGTTTCGTCGAAACATGCTTTGATGTGAGTATGAGTCGTTGTTATCTTTCAGACGAAACAAGAACAAATCGTATAAAATCTTAAATATTTTTTAACAATTTATTTCATAAGTAAATATGGTTAGTTACTTCTACATAATTACTCCTGTCAACTATGTAAATGTAATTTATGCTTTGTTTCATTTTTCTCATTCTGATTCCTATATATATTATAATCTATTTCTCTCAGCTTATGTTGAACTAGAATCAGTACTTTTACAGTGATACTAAATTCAATAAGTTTAGGAGATTCTCTATCTAGTTTTAATGGTCATTAGTGGTTATTATTGTTTAAGAAATTAAATTCACAATATTGCATTTATTTTTATTTTCTGCTTCTGCCTCTCTTTTTCTTGCTTATATCGCCATACAAAAAAACGAAAAACACATCGATAGATTAGAAAAACTGAGATAAGGAAAAACAAACAGGAAAATGTACAAGAATGAGTTCAACAAACAGGGGAAAAAAATTAATTATAATCATCTTTAATGTACGTGAGTATATGAGTGTGTATATGAAGAAAAATGGTGGAAAGGGATTTGTTCGATTTACTATTGGACACATACTTTTTCCAGACATATTTTTAAATAAGCTGTAAAGACTTTTCAACTACAATAGAATAAAAGTGTCGGCAAAAACGCAACACTAATAAGTGTATAAACTAAGAAACGGGTCAAAACGAAATTTTCATATTTTCTGGAAGTATGAGTAAAGATACTTAATTCAAGAGAATTATTTTATTCCTGTAGTTTAGCGTCATTTTTTTACAGAATTTTAGAATTTTACAGTAAAGTTTTATTTAAGTTCACTTGTCTATGCAGAAAACATAACGTGCCTAAGCAAAATAAGTAAGATAGTATGCAAGAATATTTCAGGCGTGCATTATCATTCAATTTGAACGAAATACTTATTATACGAGAGTACAATAAAAGCGTACGGACATCAATCTTAATAACAGATAGGAATTGAATAAAACATCCAATTGTGGAAAACATTAAAAGAACAAAAATTTGACATTTTTTTTTTTCTCAACTAGTAGTGTTTAATTGTTCGACAGGTTGAATCGTCGATGTTTGTAATGACGATAATGTAGTTTCAGTTTGTGTTGTCGGTGATGATAAATGATAAAATAACAACGTTTTTTTATCCGTTTGAGTTTCTGATGATGAGGAAGGTACTGTAGTTATTGGTTGCTGTTGTTGTTGTGGCTGCTTGACAAGTAAAGCTCGAACATATTGAGTAAAGTCAAATTTTGTCGTATTTATGATAGTTGGCTCGGACTGAGATTTCGTTAGCTCGTCTTGAGAATGATTATTTAAATTATTTGGTGTGCATACCAGACGAAAGTTATTTTGAGATAAAAATTGACTAATGGCTGCGGCTGTCGGTAATTGAGATGATGAAATTTGGGATGATGTGGGAGTGATGATAGATGGTTGTGATACTACGACTGATGCTATTGAGACGGTTGTTGAACGTTGTGTTGAAGAACGCTTTGACATCGTATCATCATTGATCAATGTTGGCGCTTCTCTCAGACGAGTATACGAATGATCATGATAAACGGTCGATGCGGCTGGATCACGTAAATTATGATTACTATGTACCTGAACTAAGGATGTACGAGACTAAAAGAAAAAAACATGTCAACGAATAAGTCACCTTTTAATCAAAATTGAATAAAATATTCTTAAAGAAGCAACTATTATCAAATTTGTATTATTCAAATTTAAACTAATAATTGAATTGTTCTGTTGCTTACGAGGAGAAAAATTTTCAATAATATCTAAACACTCTTCACTGTTTAATCTAAATTCTTAATATATCTTTTATTTAAGCACGAAAAAGTAATATATTCCACAGAATACTTAACAAAATAATTCTAAACATCTAAATTGTATATTTGATTTGACGTACTGAATTTATCGTCAGTTATTTCCCCGTAGAATTCTAGAAATTTTTTTTAGTGCTTCATAGGATTTAAACAGTCTTACTCTTTTCATCGTCGTTGGAGGCTTATAATCCATTTCATCATCATCATCTTCGTCATCAGTTAAACCGGCTAATTGTCGATAATTTTTTGTTTTTGACGAACGAGTTGACGTTGTTGTAGTATTATTATTATTATCTGCAGCTATTTGTGTATACTCAAAATCATTTGTTAATCGTCGACGTTTCAAAGGATTTATATCGTCTATATCATCGACTTGAGGTGTTTGAGGTTGATATTCAGACCAAATTTCTTTAAAATATTTCAATAAACGATTTGATATACGACCAAGTACTAAAAGAGATCATCAACATGGTCTACGCAAATAATGCTTGTAAAATAGTGCTCACAACTTCGTGAAAATATTGAATAATTTTTAATATCTACATAAGAAGTTAATAGAAAAACATTAACTATACTTACCACTTCTTTTTCCATTATATTTTTTACAATTTTCTACCATCAATTCAATATCTGAAATAAATTCATTTGAATTATTTAGATAACATTGACGATTTATTTTTGATTGAATTGTTGATAAATCAATAGGTTTCTAAAATAGCAAAAAAGAAGGAATAAATATTTTATCCAAATATGTAAAATAACTCAAAATCTTACTTCAATAACAGTAAAATAATTGGGTGCTATGTCTTCTGTAACTGGTTCTAAAAATGGCCAACTATTCTCATATGTACGTAATGTATTCAAAACTAGAATAAATCAAAATACAATAAGCTCCAACAAAGTCTTAAATATTGATACGTCTTATTCATTATTCAATATAGCAATATACATCCAAAGATTTTAGCTTTCTCCAGTTGATAAAAAGGAGAAATACCGCTGTTTTTTTTATTATTAAACTAAGTGATTTACTAGTGAAATTAAAGATTTTTGATAAAAAATAGAAAAGTAACTTTAGTATATATTCAAATGGAATGAACATACCTCTTTGATGAATATTATTGATATCATTTGTTGTTGGTAATACTCTTGTATTACTAGATGTTGTTTTTGACATTTGAGATAAACTTTCATCATTTGATAGTGAACTAGGATTTTCTAAACTTGTCGGATTATTGGCAACAACTGTTGACATCGAAGATGCATTACTATTTTCAGAATAAAATCCATTCAAATCATCAGCACTTGCTGCAGATGAATCTAATAAATGATCTCCATTTAATACTGCTGCACGACGACGTATTCGAGAGGCACGTTCTTAAACAGAAAATAATGAACGATTTCGAAATTTTATTTACAAAAAAGAAGCTTTACCTTCTCGCTTTTTGACTCGACCTTCTCGCTCTAATCGTTCTTTTTCTTTGGCAATAATCATTTCTTGTTTTTTCTTGTATTCTAAAAATTTTTCAATTCTCTCTTTTTGTTCTGTATCAAACTGTTCTTTTTGTATTCGCGTTTGTCGTTTTGTTTCGAGTCGAGTAGATGATCTTTTTGGTGCATATTTAGCAAATAAACTTGAAGAACGTTTTTGTGTATCACGATCCTTTCTCGAGTAGATGTCAGGTAACTCTTGAATGAGTAGGTATAATGTTTGTAGTAAACGTTTATCTTGAGCTTTTGTTGATTGTTTATAACTGGAAACAAATGTTTCCCATTCATCTAATGTACGACAGACACATTCCCACGATGTTATTCTAAAATCGAAAATATTTCAGTTTAGAATCAAGAACGGACGTATGTATTAAAGATAGAGAAATAAGTCAAAAATGGAAACAAAAGTAATAAGTCATTTTTAAAGATTTGTTTGAAAGATATTTCACCGTCTGTTCAATTGTAAACATACCCCGATTTCGTTTTATCTAATTTTTCAACATATAATCTTGTATCACCAAAATACCACATTTTACTTCCTTTTGAATCTTCACCACACGGTTCAAAACGAATTAAATCAGCTGAAACAGTCTAAAAAAGACAAAGTAAAAATTCTTGATTAGAAACTAAAGTGTTCTTTTTTTTATGCTTTACTTCTGTTAAATTTTCCACATCTGGTTGAGTCAATCTTGCATCACATAAACATCTTAATATGTGTAATTTTTCAAATACACCCATTTCTTTCCAATCTCCTAGTAAAATTATTTCTTCTGATGGTGCTGATTGTGGAGGAATCGATGAAGGTATTGATAAATCACATTTTTTTAAACATTTTACAAGCATAATATGAATATTATTTGTACTAAAAAGAAAAAACAGACAAGAAATAAAGAAATGAAAAATAGAATAAAGTAAAAGTTTAATATTTTTCGTTACAAAGAAATGATACTGACAAAAAAATTAAAGAGTTTTTCTAAGATGAAGGATTTTCATTTACAGTACAAGACAAGGAGCTGCAACATGGGTCAACATTTCTTTTCAAAACATAAACATACTAACATTAATTTCAGTTAAAAAAATATCTTTCTAAGATTATGTCCTTGAAGAGCGATAATATATAACCAATTTCACATACAGAGAACAAACTTGAAATATTAATAATGATACTATTATGTATTCGTCTATGTACTAGTAAATGTGACTTTAAAAAAGTCAAATGTGAAAATATACATACTTGACTTGAAACCGAGTCAAACCGGATAATAATGAAAGAAGTAATTCTTGTAAAAATGGATGCATTTCATCAGGATTATCTGATAATAGTGCATCTTCTAGTTCCTGTATAGAAAGAAAAAAAATTATGTTAAATGAGCTAGATCAAGTGCTATTTGTTCTCACCTCTTGATGAAATTCAAATAAATTAAATAATTCACAAAATACACGACAAAACTGAGTTATGTACGGAACTTGCCACGAATTTTGTAAAGCTAAACAGAAATAATTACATACTATTCAATTTGAAGAAACAAAATAAAAGAAATATCTCTTTACTTTTCTGAATATTGCTTAATTGCGTATCAGGCCACTCGGACGTACTATACATTGGTTGGTTTTTATCACAATCTACAACACACACCGACCACATTAGGCGCCAATAGAATGACTCACATTTGACAACTGTCGGAAACAGCTGACTTATGACTCATTTTCTGTGTCCAAAAACTAAACAAAATATAAAATTAAGAATTGTCGGGCAGAAATTAAGTTTCCATTTCATCACGGTGAGGTTCAACATTTAAAATGACAAAAATGAAGGCAAAGTTATTCTAGTTTTCTAATTCATTATGTCTCATTTCATTTACTAAGACTGAACATTAGTTCGATTTTACACGTTTGTTTGTTAGCTAAGTTTCAAAGAGCCAAAACTTGCTGAACATAATTTTTCTGTTTGTTGCGTCAAAGCGGTCAGGATACGTTAGTTATGACTGGGCTTCTACAGCCAATAATAATTGCTTCATAGTCTTCACGATAATGTTGTTTTATACGGTTAAAATAATTTGTCAAACTCTTAGATACTTTGTCTACATTTAATTAATTCGTATCATTACCAAGAAGGTGTTTCTAAAGTTCTGAAATAAGTAGCATATGGATTCCAGATGGTGACCTCTACAATTAATATTGTCTATTTACTGCAAGAAGAGAGATTATTTATAGTGAATTAATGTTATAAAAAATAAAATAATTTTCTGCTTTTTGTTTCATTTACAGTTATTACACCAGAATTGTTCTTAATTATGATTTGAAAAAATTTACCAATAGACGCATCGGGCAGTCCACCTTGGTGAGCCTACCGTCCTATGTGCTGTTTTGTTTTGTGTGGATGCGAACAAGCAATTGATTTCGTAAATGAATTACACATTTTAACTTCTGCTCCATCTGTTTTGTCCAGAAAATGTTTTTACGTAATTGTTATATCGCTATACTCTAAATGCACCCTTTCTAATAAGAGAGTGTATCTGTTAAAACAAAGTATGCGGTACCCTAACAAAATTAAATATACACACAGTTTTACACCGTGAGAAAAAAATAGGGTGTATACTGCACACTCTGAATTTTTAATTTACAGACCTGGCCTTTTTAAACAGAGAGGTGAAACACAATCTTCTGTCATTTGGCCTTATCGGGGACTTTTTAACCTTTGTACACTTTGTTGAGAAACAGAGTATATCGGTACATTCTGTCTCTCATTCGCATTAGAAAGGCTGTCTTAATGTGACAATGTCACACTTTTACCAGTGTTTCTTATAAAAAAGTTTACACCGATGTTACGCGTTTGCTTAAGAGTAATACATAGTGTACAAGTACATCATGCGCTGGAAAGCTGCGTGTACTCGTACATATGGCCCATATTCAAGGAAATTGTTAATTGTATTGCATGCCATTAATTAGTTAATAATCCCAGAAAATTGAAATGCTAAATAGGCGTTGTTTGTTTCTCTTATAAATGTCTAGTATTTTGACAACGTCAAAACTAAATCTTTTATTTGTTTAGTACGCAATTCGCTTCGTTTGTCGTTTACTTTGAGTATCTGGTTTTAGTTGTTAAAGCAGGATTTTTTGACGTGTCGCTGTTTAGCGTGTACTATTCACACTTTATCTATGTCGACGGTTTAGTTTGAGAATACAGAAGCATACTTAACTTGAGAAAAAATAATCTTGGTTCTTTCCTGATTTTCTCTCGTACCACAGACCATATATAAAACGTAGTGGCAGAAAAAGAAGTTCATTTAGAAACTAAGTTTATTAACCTGTTTGTAATTTATAACGTAAATTCGAGGTATATTTCAGGCCGTGAAGTATTTCTGACTCTTCCTACTTTAAACCTGAAAAATACACGCCGTTCAGATCGACAAAATTTTTTGATATGTAGTTTTCACTTGAAGTCTTCTACTTGTTTGTCTTCTAGCTCCATTGAGCAATGCTTGCTGATTTTACTGGAGCAAAAAAAAAGTTGCCAAATTCAAATTGAACCTGGAGAAAAGTCTTTAGGACTCTCAGCTTTATTGTGTGAAACAACTGAAAGTGAAATTATTTAAGTTTTTTCCTTAATCTATCGTCGCTCAATTTATTACGTTGCCGTTGTTTTCTAGATCTCAACCAACGAGAGTAAATTATGCTCTCTAGTGAACGACTTCTTTCTAGTGTCTTAGGAGGAGGTAATTTATATGAATGTAATTTAATAGCTCTAATATACTTTAACTTGTTGTATCTTTTGCAAGGTTTACCTAGATTATTATTTGTTCGAACATTATTTTTTCGAAATAAGGATCATCCCGATCATCCACCAGAACCATTCAAAAAATCAGTTCCACCTCATTTAGAAAAAGCTCAAGAGCAAGCATTGCAAAATTATGAGGACAAAGATCCATCAAAAGCATGCTATGGTACTTAGAGTTAGAATGGTTATTAGAAGCCTTTATAATCAATTTTTCACTTGATCTTTTTCTTTTCTAGTTAATATTTCGAAACCACTACCGTCATTGGATATGTACAATGTATCAAAACGTGGTCTTCATATGCTTATCTGGACAGATTTACTTAGAGGTAAAATAGAAACGCTGTACGGTTATATGCAGAGAAGAAAAAACAAATCGATATATGATCACATTTCAGTTTTAACTTGCCTTTGTTATGTTGAGGGATGTGGATTGCTATGGGATGGCAACTGAGAGAACCAGCTACAATCAATTATCCATTTGAGAAAGGACCGTTAAGTCCAGTAAGTTTATCTAGAAGGTTTATTCTTAGTGCATTAATTTCTATCTCTCTGTTAGAGATTTCGTGGAGAACATGCGCTAAGACGATATCCATCTGGAGAAGAAAGGTGTATTGCATGCAAATTATGTGAAGCCATTTGTCCTGCGCAAGTATGTGAAATATAAATTCGTACAATAAATGATGAAGGTAGTCTTAACATTCAGTTTCTTATCTCTTTATTTATTTTTTGAGGCCATTACAATTGAAGCTGAGGAACGTGCAGATGGAAGTAGACGGACAACACGTTATGATATTGATATGACTAAATGTATTTATTGTGGATTCTGTCAAGAAGCCTGTCCAGTTGATGCTATTGTTGAAGTACGTTAATACATCATTTCTTTCAGACTTTCGACTACAGGCTATTCGTTGCTCAAACTGATTAAAAGCTTCGTCTGTTGTTTTAGGGTCCAAATTTTGAGTATTCAACTGAAACTCGAGAAGAATTATTGTATAATAAGGAAAAACTGCTTCAGAATGGCGACAAATGGGAAGCAGAAATCAACGCTAATCTCCAGGCCGATTATTTGTACCGATAAACTTTATTCTGCTGCTTTTTTGTATATTTAGATTATTACACAATTTCCTTGTTTTTTTAGTAATAAAGCGTTTTTTTCTTATTGAGTGTTCTTTTTTTGCTAATAAAAGGAATGATACGTTGAAATAAAGTACCAAATTTTTTCAGAAATAGCCAATGTAGTTTTATCAGGAAAATTAAGCTCTGCGATTAACTTAAAATCTTAGGGAATGCATAGTGGATACCGATAGTTTTAACGTTAAGTTCATTGGTATTAAAAAATCAAAAAATTTTATGAAAATTACAGACGTTCCCACAGGTCAAGGAGGCTGAAAAAGTATTTATATTAGAGAGAAACTATTTTTCTCTCCATTGTTAATGTTGCGTAACTTTTTGTTAATGTTTTCGTGTTTCCTATAGTTTATGACATATAACCTGCATTTCAACGTTGGCTGGTCTTTGGCATCGTCTACTGAGAGAAAACGGATGTTTTCCAATATATTTAGTCTTTTAAAAAGAGTAATATTCCTCTTCCATTTTGTAGGTCACACCTGTCTCTACAATCTTACATCATTTGATTTCAGTCAAATTATCAATAAAACTTGAACAATCAATAGGTGCTATTATTGTCTTTACAATTCTAAAACTTTTTATCGTGCACTGTAGAAAAAAAAAAGAGACTTATTTTAAAGTCGGAGGTAACAAAAGACACAATGCAAATATCTCATTTAAGACACTTTTCGAACGTCTTATTTTTCCACTTCTTTTTGCCGGACGATTCGGCATATATAATGTCATCTCAGTCTACAATACACGATGGGCCCAAGTCACAGATTTTCAAAAGACTAATGATATATTTCACTTGCCACGTGGGAGAATAATGTCAACTGTTCTACTTAATAACAAAAAAAAAGTTACTGAAAATTGTGCACTACCACTAAGCTAATTATTAGCAAGTATATGGTTTGAACATGTGAATATTTTCTGATAGGATGAACTCTTTTAAAATATCAGCATATTATTTATGTTCATACTTTTCTTTTCAATCAGGTTTTATCGACAAACTTATATCACATATATTTGATGAGCCAAGAGACGCGCGCACGAATAAGAGTGATGTTTTGTTGATGACTCGAATTTCAGAATAAATCTATTCGCTACAAACTGGCCAAACACCTATATGATATTGATTTTTGTGAGTGTCTTGAATCCAAGTTAGAAATTACCTATGTACACTAACAGAAAGAATCTTTCCAATGAGCTTTCCATCTCTCAATAATTGTGTTTTATCGTCGTGACGCTGTGACGCACGTTTTTTCCAAGAAAGGAGCACTAAACATTGCTTAAAGGATTTGAGTTTCACATCGAACTTAGTTTTAGGCATTTAATATAGACTAACATGAAAATAAAGCTGAAAAAATGTTTCAGTTTCTTAGAATTGTGTAAGAATCTTAAAACTTAAAACTTTATTAAAAAGCTTGTTTTTAGTCTAAACTTCAAAAGAAACACACCATCTTGTAAAGAATCGAAGTCTCTGTCGATTAGTGTGGTCTTCCATTTTTATTAGAAAAAGTGTCTAGGTGAGGAAATTGAAAATACAGCTTTCAAACAATGTAAAACTGGATTTTTGGTGCCAAAATTTAACTTTTTAAAAAAAATAACGTGAGATTCGTAATCAGCGCCCAAAACTGCATCTAGTGATATGCTTCTTGCAGTTCTGCTCTAAAATAATATTTTCAAAAACTTGATCAGCGAAGTCTCGAGCTACGTGGACAAGCTGATTTGTGAAACGAACAGCGCCTTTTGAGCTCCCCTGGAAATATTTTAGCAAGAAAACCTCTTCTCTCGTTAAATGACCTTTACTCAAAGTATTTTCATTATTCTACCGTTTCTCGATGCACATAAAAATTATTACAATTTCTTCTACGTACAGAGATTTATCATAGTTTGAATGTAGAAAGATGTGGAATTGAAAAGGCTACAGATTGAGGTATAACGTATTCTTTCAAATCCAAAATTTAGTAGCCTAATGGAAAAAAAGATGAGAAACAGTTTTTCGATTAATTTTACTGATTTTGGTAACATGGGGTCGTTCTTAAATTGGATGATGTTTGATAAAACAGTGCTGGTAGGGGCTCAGAAGCATCTTGATTTCCTCAAAAATCTTTTCTGTACACGATGAGGCTGTTATAGGAAAGGTATCACTTGAATTCGTGGACTCTAGGGTTTGGGTTTTCCGGAGACCTGGCTCGAGAAACTTTAGCGGGAAACTTTATTTTCCAAAGATCAGATTGGAGACTCCTTGAGTTATTCAAATCTTTCCTCAGATTCGTTGCATCTAATATCTTATAGGAGAAAAACTCAAAATAAAGGTGGATCACCAGTTTGAGCGACTCTGTAAATACAAATCGCAACAGGCATATCACCATTCACTATATAAATCCCTGACGGCACACTTTTAATAGCAAGTGATGCGTTTGCATTTGAAGCACGTTAAATTCGGCGATTTTCTATATGCCAAACATTTTGGCTCTTATTTCATCTACAACACTGCATCTCATTCACCATTTCATAATAGGGCAAAGTTATCACATCCGTTGGTATCTTGCATCTAAATCTACGAAAATTAGCCTTTAAAAGCCTACATTATACCACATTTTTATACGACAAAAAACGAAATGCCCGCCAAGTAGCTCTTCAATACAGCTGCGAAGGCAAACTTTCGAAATAATGCTTTAGCCCATTTTCTAGCCTGTGAACGTTTCTATCGAACGAACGAAAATATGGTGAATAATCATGACCAACGTTTGCAACAACTATTGTCTACCATCCTTTTGACCTGGAAAAATTGTGTAACAACGTAAAAATTTTCGCAATATTTGTAATTACGAAATTTCATCTATGTCGTATATATATCTTTTCTTTCCTGTTCGGTATACTTTATTCTTATGGTGATGATCAGAAACAATAGACAT